TTCCTATTCTTTAGAGGTTTAGTATAATCTAAGTATGTTAATATTCATCTAATATGTTAATAGCTTTACTAGGTTTAGACGTGACCTTCTTGTATAAATACTTTGCCTCTATGAATCAATAAAGAACAGGCTTTACAAGTCATTTCACCTACTAAAAGGAAATCCTACATACATCCTAGAAATGAGTTTAGTTTAGCATTGGTTTTGTTGAAGATAACAAGAGTTTTCGATTAGGTTGTCGTTGTGCAAACTGTCCACTAAGGTTAAAGAGATGCAATGGAAGTTAGTAACAGTGGACGGGGTAATAATGCGGGGAAACAAATGTGGTTGTGGTTAGTTCTTGGCTAGTTTGGACGATGCGGACTACTCAATTATTTTTCTATGAAAGATCTTGTGTCTTATACTTTACGCTTTTTGTAATTTCTTTTCAGAAACCGTGTTGCATTGCATTCCTAGATGATTGTAACGTTTGGTTAATAAAACTAAATGTTGAATAAATATAGTGTTCGTATTAGGTGGTTGATTCGATTCCAAGACATGCGTAGTTACCAAAAAATCTCCTCCTCTTTATATGGTTAATGAACCAAGAAAATATTAAACGGCATATCAAACCGTGAACCGCTTCCTGGACCAGTTAGGAATCAACTTTCTGGACCACGTTGTACAAGTAAAATAGTCATCTCAGCAATAAGTTTTCTCGTTACCAAAAAAAAAAAAGAAAGCAATAAGTTTTCTTTTTTGGTTTACTAGAATGACCTTGTCAAGCAAAGATTTGGACTAGAATGACCTCTATCTTTCAATATTATTAGAATGACCTTGAAAAAAATTTAATTCCTATGTTAACCTTATTTCATTTGAAGACAAAAAACGTATTTACGAAACTGNCATTAATGAAGCNGAAATTTTTTNCCGCCAAAATTAAATNAGTCTACCATTCTGTTACGGTAGACTTATTAAACGTCTGGTAGACTTATTACGGTGTACATGATGGTAGACTTATTTATAGTTGTGATAGATTTATAATATGTGGTAGACTTATTCGTAGTACTGGTAGACTTAATTTTGGGATCGGTAAACTTATTTGTAGTAGTGGTAGATTTATAAAGT